CAAGTGTTTGTCAAATTATATTCATAGCGGTGAAACCAGTGATTTGGAGGTTGGGACAAGCTATGATAAAGTAGAGACGGACGGAAAACTTTTGAAGTGTTTTAAAAACATAGGCAATAAGAATTATGATCAAATTGAGAAATTGTTTGTGACAGCATTTCTCATTACACGCAAAGGAAAACCACTTAGTGATTTTGCAATGCACTTAGACTTGCTTGACAGGGTTGGTGTGGATATAGGGCATAATTACAGAAACATTGATGGTGCGAGCAAGGTTATTCAAGCAATTTCATAGAGTTTAAAAAAAGAGCAAACTATGTAGCCATTCTTAGTGATGGGAGTACCGACTCAGCAATTCTTGAACAGGAAACTGTGTTATTCGTTACGTAAGCCAGGGGGGTTCCAGTTTTATTCCATGCTGCAGTTGTATTTCTAAATCATGCTAGTGCTGATGGGGTGTTGGATGGAATAAAAACTGCTCTTGAAATTAATGACATTAGTTATGAAAAGCTTGTATCACAATACCACGAGGGGCCCAAACTAGTGTCTGTAAACTTTGACGGTGCATCTGTGATGATGGGTAACCATTCAGGAGTGGCAAACAATCAAGCGGGAAGCTCCCTATGTTGTACCTGGTCAGTGTGTAGCACACAAGCTGAAACTGTCTCTGTTGGATGCAGGAAAAGGCGTGTTGCCACTGAGTAACTTTGAAGAGGCATTGATACAGATATTCACATTCTCCCACAATAGCCCCAACATGAGAAGAGAACTTAAAACTATTTCTCAGATCTTTGAAACAGATTTGGTTCATTTGAGTGATGTGAACAATGTGAGGTGGTTGGCAAGCAAATTGATGGCTCAGGAAAAATCTCCATTCAGTGATTCAACACATTGAAAATGATGCTACTGGGCAAACTGAACAGAGCTATAAAGCAAAGGTCTGGCTTGCAAAACTAAAAACTGTGACTTTCATTAAGACATTGTTTAATCTGTTGGATGTGCTTCCTCTACTCACTGAAGTATTCATCGTGTTCTAAAGGGAGGACCTTCTTGTCACTACAGTTTCCCAGGAAATTGAAGGTGTTATGTTGAAACGTACCCAACTAAAAGTCCAGCCAGAGACAGGAGAAAACCTGAAAGCCTTCATGGATCTGTACTCACACCAAGATGGTATTTTTGATGGTGTGATTCGACTGATTGGACAGTCAAAACGTGTAAACTTCAATGATCTGAGGATGTTTCTTTGAACCCCTGCGAGTCATTATCTGAGGATGTTTCAGATTGGCTATTAAACGTTCCAGGAAGTGATTCTGTTGTTTGTGTAGATATTGCAGGTGAAAATATCAGAGGAGATTCCGATTTAACCCAGGTCAAGTGTGTTTGTCTGACAACATGCAGATGACTTTGTTATTCTTGTGGTCCTCTCCTTATGCTCTGAGCTTTGGACTAGTATTTTGGCATCTGGAAAACTAATGTTTTTGGTGAATGTAATTTTATTTATCTCCATTTGATGTTTCCAGTAAGAGGAATGATCTCCTGCACAGTTGGTACATTTTTTGACATTACTGTCACAATCTTCTGTCGTATGTGTCTTTTCACCACAGTGAGCACATACAACAGACAATGTGCAAGTATTGACGCCATGACCGAACTTTTGATCATTATCAACTGGATCTGTGTCTAGTTGACGTTTGGTTTTTATATGGGGGTTTCGTAAGCCATGGTTCATGTTTAATGGTTCGTCATCTGAGCTCCCCACCCACCATGGAGTATCACATGGACAATGCTGAAAGGAAATGGATTTCTGACTTGCAGCACCAAGGATACCCGGATGATATACTCCAGCAGCTGTAGAAAAAATTAAAAGATTTATGATTCCACCAGATTGGCCCATGAGCCACCGCCTTCTGGGCATACGACTCTGGACATTCATTAAATTGTGTATTGTATATTCTGAGTTCAAAATATTCGCTAAGACTTAAAAATATCATTTTATAATTCTCAAAATTTGGTGCAACAGTACATAGTTGTAGCACAGGGCTTGGCGTGACCAGCCGATTGACAGAATCGGACCAATTCTACCACCCGTCTAGGTGACGTAAGGGGCGAAGTTGTGTGTTGGGCAAAGGAACACTATTCCTTGAACCAGTGCCCTCAACCACCAGATTCCCGTCCTCCATCGACAAAGGGGCGCAACCCACGGCAAACAGGTTGGTGGACCAAATATACCCCCGGGTCCACACGGGGGGTTGAAGAGCTCTTAGCGTTACCCAACACCCACCAGGTGGAGGTGGCTCTTCACGGGTGCTAATATGTGTCCTAGTGTTACATCATATACCCCACTTGCGGTTACCTACGAATTCATTTACACCACTAAGGCTCGCTAGCTGTACATTCACAATGTGTGTTCCTAATACAGGATATGTAGCACGTGTTAACCTTTGGGTATTGAGTTATGATTTTGTGAATGTGTTTCGGAAGGCAGATTTAAATGTTTACAGCCATACCATCGAATCACATACTTTCCATCTCCATATAGTGACGACAATCTTAAAAAATGTAATAAGTACTTTAATAAATACCCAATAAATACGGATCATATAATGAAATATATAGCAAACAACATAACTGCACTACAAGTGTATATCGACATAAATCAACTCTGAAATATACTTTTTTTAAAAGAGAAACTATACATGCTGTTTTGGAGTTTACTTACTGAGTGCATATAACTGATTCAATTATGACATCATTGCTCAGTTACAATAAAATCATCACTTTACAAATTTCCAAAACATGATTATCCAGAAAGTGTTTGGTAAAACCACAGAGGGCTATATAAGCCACTTGGCTAGAGTAAAATGTCAGTAACTGATGTGACCACCATGAGCATCGATAACATCTTGGCAGCGGTGACCCATAGAAGAAAAGAACTGCCGAATGCTGTCTTGAGGAATGTTTTGATACACTTGCTGAAGTGTTGTGTGCAGTTCTTTTAGTGTCTGAGGTGGCGGATTACGCTGGCATCAAGAGTATCCCATAGTAGTTCAATTGGGGACAAATCGGGTGATCGAGAAGGCCAAGTTAACACCTGAACATTGTTTTGCTGGAGGAAGTCCTGTCAAACACGTGCAACGTGAGGTCAAGCATTGTCATGCTCCAAAGATGAACCGTTGACGTTGATGAAGGTTACCACGTTACGTTGAACTGGTCTTCTGGAATAAAGTCTGGCTTCCCATAGCCAATCACGCACTGTCTGGTCGGAGATTCGGCGCAGTCCAGGGATTTGGATTGTTGTGGATGATGCGGCCGTGCTGTTTGAACGAAGATGTCACAACCGGATGTAGCGACACATGGCGGAGGTGGTAACTCTAGGTCGACCTGACCTGGGTCTGTCATTAACACTCCCAGTATTGTTGTATCGGGTCCATAGGTTTGAGATGGTCTATCTGGACACGCTGAAATGCCTTGCCACCTCAAGCTGTGATGCGCGTCCTTGTAAACGGCCGATGGCGTTGTGCAGTTAAGCTTCTATCAGTCTTTTCATTCTGTTGTCGTGGCTTAAAGCAATGCATGTGGAGTACCACTGATGTGGCTTTTTCAAGCCTACAGTCACAGGCTTGACCCCAAAGTGATACACAATTTCATGATGCACGTGCATTTCATGTTGGGTGCGTTTTAGCGATTCATTACAGACGTGAGTGTAAGGTTACGTTTTGTTCAACGTTTCTTTTTTTTCAAACGTTTGTCGTCGGCAAGCATTCCCCTACATCTTTGGATTCCGTATGGATTGATTTGTGTGAAATATTTTCCTAAAATTCAATTTTTTCCTATGTATAGTTTCTTTCTTTGAAGAGTCTATAACTCTTGTACTCACTCCTGTGGCACAAATTATGTAAAATAATACATCTTAATGTTTTTGCGGTCATGTTGGTAGTTGAATCAGCCAGTTGACATTTGGGTGGTGTAAAATTCCTATTAACTATCAAATAGTGATTCCGATATTATATGAATTGACAAAGTGAAAGGCATCTCTGGAATGTATCTGATACGTTTTAGTGCAACGCATAACACTTTCATTTTAATTTACAAAATTTCTTAAAATGCCCATGGATGGCTCCCACTACAGTGTCAAACATATGCTTGGGTACCTCAGGCACAATGATGATCATAAGAGTCCCATAGCAATCTTTAAGTAGGGACTATTTGATGTTGAAAATGAATTAGTGCAATAAGATAAAATTGATAATTACTTGAATTAAACACAGGGCTCACTTTCCAATTGATATCTGAGTTAAACTCAGCCTTTTCGCATACGTTGACAACCTACATATCGATGCATGAAAATGTCTCCCTATTCAACCAAGTACGTGTAGCAACATACCACCCTTTCCGTCAGATCATCACCCAGAGAAATATACTATCACACGTACGTGATCACATTATCATGAACAACAAGTACAACTCTACAACATAATTTGTCACATCAAACTAAAATTACAACTTAGAATACTAACGTAACATATATTATATTTGGGATTAAACATTCTCAGTAAAGTACAGATTCTAATACTTTTGTTAGGTTGAATCCCATCAGGGATTCAAACCCACACCCTCAGAGTCAGGCACCTAATCGCCAGCACACATTAAGAATGCTAAAATATAGACAAATTATTACAGGTTTCGTAAGGTATGCATTCAGGAGATGGCAATTCAATCCTAGGATGATGATGATACGTACTAGTCCTTGAACATAATCACTATGTCAGTGGGTTCTAGCATATTTAAGAGATGCACCTCTTAAACTGGCCATCTCTGTCCTCCAGATCCAATGAAACTAATCGATTTGACAATCCCATAACAAATAAACGTGAATTGAGGGATGTCCCTGCTACTCATTCAAAGGTACTTCACCCAGCATTTCCTGAGGAACATTGCAAACATAATCGTCAAGACAATATCCAATTGCTTTCAACAGCTGAACACAATCCCCGGAAATCGGCTCGCCCGGACACCACGTGTTGTTCTTGATATCACTGCCATCCAACCACAAGTAACCACCTTTTGGGTTTGCTTTGCCACCGACGAAAACATTTGACTTAGTTCCTGAAATGATATTAAATCAGTATACATTGCTGGAACTGGAAATCAAATTAGGAATAGTCAATCACTCATTCTCAATAATGGGGTGCAAATGCCGTCGCCGCCATGCTTCTCTTAAACGTAATTAGTAAGTGCTATTTTGAGTATGGTTTGATAATGGTACCACCCTGGGCCCCGTTTCACAAAGCTCTCGTAAGCCTAAGATCTCGTAACTTTCCTCGCAGCATTACTACCTCCTATGTTACAGGATAGGAGGTACGAGTGCTACGAGAAAAGTTACGAGATCTTAGGCTTACGAGAGCTTTGCAACACGGGGCCCTGGGCAACATCCATCATGCATTAACAGTTCAATAACCACAAAAGTTATTTATTACAACTAAGGTAAAAAGTTAATTTGAAATGTTCGTTACTGTCGCTGGTAGCAAACTTTACTTTGCACTTTAATTTAAAGGTGTTTGGTATACAAATACAGTAGGACATTGATATTGGTCAAAAGTATCATTTTCTGCAAATTGTTAAGCCAATGCATTCTTTTTAGACAAATGAATGTGTTCCAATGCCATGTCAACAGTTTTGAGCAAGTGCCCATGACTGATTTTCAGCTTGACATGTACATGTGTAGAACAAAGCATAATCTTACCCATTTACTTTGAATGAATACAATTTATATTTACATTTATGGTATTTGTTATTATTTGGGGCTTAGAATATCTCTCTGCATAACATATCACAACACATAGAAATATTCCATACGAAGAAATATGAGTGAAAAGTCTTAGTAACGGATATTTCCATCACTTCGATTGGATTGAAACTGAGCTACAGTCCTATAATTTCCAGAATGTTCGACGTTACTCTCATGTTAAGTACTTACAGTATCATTATTTGAAATGTATCCCCGTCCCCTCAAAGGAGTGAGGGAGTTTAGTTTTACGCCGCACTCAACAATATTGCAGCTATATGGCGGCGGTTTGTAAATGATCGAGCCTGGACCAGATAATCCAGTCATCAACAGCATGAGCATCGGTCTGCGCTACTGGGGACCGATGACATGTGTCAACCAAGTCAGAGAGCCTGACCACCCGATCCCGTTAGTCGCCTCTTACGGCAAGGGTTACTGAAGATCAATATTCTACCCCGGACCTTCACGGGTCCCCCCTCAAAGGAATGAATGACAATAAGTATATTTGAGAATAGTTTACTTTCCTGCAACAGTTACAATTTACGAAGATAATGTCGAAGTTTAGTTTGAAATCATTGCTAGATCCAAAATTGCTTAATACATCTTTATATTATTTTTCCACTTTTCAAGTCCTGTTTAAGTCTACCTGACGAGAAGACAGCGTTTCTGAAGACATGACGTTGCCTGAAATGTTTGTTACCTATATAGTGGTTTTATCTAGTGGTTAGAAAACTAATAAACCGCGTTTCCTCCTTAAGCAGACGACACGTGCATTTATGATTGAACCTTCAGACGATTTGAAAGTATTTGTCACTTCATGGCATTTTGTTTCATGTGTATCCTGCGTTCCTAAAGTTTGCTTTCACACAGTATGTTTTATCCTGCACTGTACTGGCTGTACAGTATCGGCGTAGATTCTTAGGGAAGAGAAGTAGGTCACGGTGACTGTTTTAGTCTCATTATCTCCTACGTAGACTTAGTTTCTCCTACCTAGCACTTAGTATCTCCTACGTAGGGTATAGTATCTCCAACGTAGGACCTAGTATCTCCAACGTAGGGTAAAGTACCTCCTACGTAGGACATACTATCTTCTACGTAGCACTTAGTATCTCCTACGTAGGACTTAGTATCTCCTGTCTCACTGTTTCATTTACTATTAGTCTTCTGTCTTGTGTTTCATTCACTATTAGAATTTACTGCTATGTGTTTCATTCTCTTTTAGCGTCTACAGTCATTTGTTTCATTCACTAATAGAGTCTACTGTCATGTGTTTCATTTACTATTAGAGTCATGTGTTGAACAAATTGTTGCACACTACTATCATTTGTTGAACTAACTGTTGCACATTACTTCCATGCGGAGAAATAAGAGTGAAATGTCTTAGTAACGCTCGATTGGATTTAAATTGAGCTACAGTCCTATTATTCCAGAATGTTCGATGTTAGTCTGATTATTTGAAATATCTTGAAACATGTCTAGTTTAAGTCTGCCTCAAGAGAAGAGTGTTTCTGAAGACATGACGTTGCCTAAAATGTTCGTTACTTATTTGTTTAATTCATCATTAGATTCTACTGCCATGTGTTTAATTCACCATTAAAGGCTACTGTAATGTGTTTAGTTCACCATTAGAGGCCACTGTCATGTGTTTAGTTCACTATTAGAGGCTACTGTCATGTGTTTAATTTACCATTAGAGGCTACTGTCATGTGCTTAATTCACCATTAGAGGCCACTGTCATGTGTTTCATTCACCATTAGAGGCCACTGTCATGTCTTTCATTCACCATTAGAGGCTACTGTCATGTGTTTCATTCACCATTAGAGGCTACTGCCATGTGTTTCATTCACTATTACAGTCTACTGTCATGTGTTTCATTCACCATTAGAGGCTACTGTCATGTGTTTCATTCACCATTAGAGGTTACAGTCATGTGTTTCATTCACTATTAAAGTCTACTGTCATATGTTTCATTCACCATTAGAGGCTACTGTCATGTGTTTCATTCACCGTTAGAGTCTACTGTCATGTATTTCATTCACCATTAGAGGCTACTGTCATGTGTTTCATTCATTATTAGAGTCTACTGTCATGTGCTTCATTCACCATTAGAGGATACTGTCATGTGTTTCACTCACCATTAGAGGCTACTGTCATGTGTTTCATTCACTATTAGAGTCTACTGTCATGTGCTTCATTCACCATTAGAGGCTACTGTCATGTGTTTCATTCACCATTAGAGTCTACTGTCATGTGTTTCATTCACTGTTAGAGGCTACTGTCATGTGTTTCATTCACTATTAGAGTCTACTGTCATGTGTTTCATTCACCATTAGAGTCTACTGTCATGTGTTTGATTCACCATTAGAGTCTACTGTCATGTGTTTCATTCACTGTTAGAGGCTACTGTCATGTGTTTCATTCACCATTAGAGGCTACTGTCATGTGTTTGATTCACCATTAGAGGCTACTGTCATGTGTTTGATTCACCATTAGAGGCGTTGTCATGTGTTTCATTCACCATTAGAGTCTACTGTCATGTGTTTGATTCACCATTAGAGGCTACTGTCATGTGTTTCATTCACCATTAGAGGCTACTGTCATGTGCTTCATTCACCATTAGAGGCTACTGTCATGTGTTTCGTTCACCATTAGAGTCTACCGTCATGTGTTTCATTCACTGTTAGAGGCTACTGTCATGTGTTTCATTCACCATTAGAGTCTACTGTCATGTGTTTCATTCACTATTAGAGGCTACTGTCATGTGTTTCATTCACCATTAGAGGCGTTGTCATGTGTTTGATTCATTACAAGAGGCTACTGTCATGTGTTTCATTCACCATTAGAGGTTATTGTCATGTGTTTCATTCACTATTAGAGTCTACTGTCATGTGCTTCATTCACCATTAGAGGCTACTGTCATGTGTTTCACTCACCATTAGAGGCTACTGTCATGTGTTTCATTCACTATTAGAGGCTACTCTCATGTGTTTCATTCACTATTAGAGTCTACTGTCATGTGTTTCATTCACCATAAGAGGCTACTGTCATGTGTTTCATTCACTGTTAGAGGCTACTGTCATGTGTTTAATTCACTATTAGAGTCTACTGTCATGTGTCTCATTCCCCATTAGAGTCTACTGTCATGTGTTTCATTCACCATTAGAGTCTACTGTCATGTCTTTCATTCACTGTTAGAGGCTACTGTCATGTGTTTCATTCACCATTAGAGGCTACTGTCATGTGTTTCATTCACCATTAGAGGTTACTGTCATGTATTTGATTCACCATTAGAGGCGTTGTCGTGTGTTTGATTCACCATTAGAGTCTACTGTCATGTGTTTCATTCACCATTAGAGTCTACTGTCATGTGTTTCATTCACCATTAGAGTCTACTGTCATGTGTTTCATTCACTGTTAGAGGCTACTGTCATGTGTTTCATTCACCATTAGAGTCTACTGTCATGTGTTTCATTCACCATTAGAGCCTACTGTCATGCGTTTGATTCACCATTAGAGGCTACTGCCATGTGTTTGATTCACCATTAGAGTCGTTGTCATGTGTTTGATTCACTATTAGAGGCTACTGTCATGTGTTTGATTCACCATTAGAGGCTACTGTCATGTGTTTCATTCACCATTAGAGGCTACTGCCATGTGTTTCATTCACCATTAGAAGCTACAGTCATGTGTTTCATTCACTATTAGAGTCTACTGTCATGTGTTTCATTCACAATTAGAGGCTACTGTCATGTGTTTCATTCACCATTAGAGGCTACTGCCATGTGTTTCATTCACCATTAGAAGCTACAGTCATGTGTTTCGTTCACCATTAGAGTCTACTGTCATGTGTTTCATTCACTGTTAGAGGCTACTGTCATGTGTTTCATTCACCATTAGAGTCTACTGTCATGTGTTTCATTCACCATTAGAGTCTACTGTCATGTGTTTCATTCACCATTAGAGGCTACTGTCATGTGTTTCATTCACCATTAGAGGCTACTGTCATGTGTTTCATTCACCATTAGAGGCGTTGTCATGTGTTTGATTCATTATAAGAGGCTACTGTCATGTGTTTCATTCACCATTAGAGGTTATGGTCATGTGTTTCATTCACTATTAGAGTCTACTGTCATGTGCTTCATTCACCATTAGAGGCTACTGTCATGTGTTTCACTCACCATTAGAGGCTACTGTCATGTGTTTGATTCACTATTAGAGGCTACTGTCATGTGTTTCATTCACTATTAGAGTCTACTGTCATGTGTTTCATTCACCATAAGAGGCTACTGTCATGCGTTTCATTCACTGTTAGAGGCTACTG